TTAATTCTCTCAGTTACTTTTTCACTAAGCATGGTTTTAGACACGACTGTCAAAATGTTGTTAGCAAGCATCAACCAGTTGTTCCCTTTGAGAAGCTAAAAATGAATTGATAAAAGTTGCTTGTTAGATCCTCCTGATACAGGAAAATCCTCCTGATTTAAAAATGTGTAAATAAGACAGGCTTTTCCTTTTTAAGCCTTAGGGGTTTTTACTTTGCATGTTCAAATGTAATAATTTGAATAAAAATGAGGTTGTACCAAAATCCAACTTGGTTTTCTAAACTAAAGCTGTTTGCTACAATCCAAACCACCAATTTAAGGAGTTTTACAGTCTTTCAATCCCTTCTTTAAAAATGTAGCTTAAATTCTGAAGCATGGTGGGTAGCCAAGCTCCCACCCAATTGCTCATTCATTTCCCCCAGCATGACAAGGGAGAGAATCAGAACGGCAAAAGAGAGAAGAAAGTTCATGTGTCAAGATAAAAACAGTTCCACAAGTAAAGAGGGGGAAGAAAAGAAGGAAAAAAATAACAATTAAGTAGTGCAAAAGCAATCATCACTCACCACCAGCAGACTGATGCCTGGCCAGCCTCTGAGCAATGTCTGATTTGGAAAAACTCCCCTCAGTTTTGTCCCTGGATGTGATGGTACAGGCTAGAGACCCTCAGGTGGGCTGTCCCAGCTGCAACCCTTCCCCACCTCTTGCAATTTTCATCTGAATGGACAGTATTTACTTAGTAGTTTCCCCAAAAGCACATCTACCCTTTATAGCAGAAATTCCTCTTATAGTTTGCAGAGGAAGGTGGGAGGCAGAGTGGTGTGAGTTATAAAGGCTTCGGGCACTGGCAGATGGAGCATATCAGGTGAGGGAGGACCTCAAGTGTGAGACTTTAGAAGACCATTAAAGAGTAGCTGCCACGAACAAGTAGCAGTCAGGTAGGAGTAAGTAGTTTCTTAGTGCTGGACCTGAGCGGGGGATAGGACTAGATTGCCTCAAGAGATCTTAAAATCTGTTTTATTCCATAGTTCTGTGATTTTAACTTGTCTTAATACCGCAGAGGTGAACCTCCCTTCTGTATCTTTACTTCATGTTCACAGCTTCGCAAAGGTTCAAGTTACTAAGTCTGGCTACTAAATATAGTAACTAACTTGCAGCAATTATTAATGTGGAACATTGAGTAATGCATCTAAATTACCACTTGTTCCTACACACGTTCTGACCTCCAGAATAAGATCTTTGTCTTTGCTATTATTTTATCACCTAAGGGATTTTCTGCTATAGCAAGAATACTCTTTGACATTAAAAAAACATGAAACCACTTTGGTCCAGCATAATTATTATTATTATTTTCATTTTCCCTTCACCACTAACTGCAGTGGTTTCACACTCCTACACACTTTGGTAGAAGATGTTATGGTGATGCATTTCACATTCTGCATTTTAACATGTGCCTCTTATGCCACTCTGTGTCCCTCGTATAGATAAATATGCCCACGAGTGACCAGTTTGAGGTGTTTAAGGACCAGCTTGAGATTTTTCTTGCAGGTTCATTTTTGTCTCACAGTTGGCTTTATTTATCTGTAAACTAATTGTCTGCTGCCTAACTTCTCTTTTTTTTTAATCTGTTCTTGTAATTGTGCTGCTTCCTGTACTTCGTTCATTGGGGTGAAAAGTTTGCTGGTGGTGTTTATCAGCCTTGTTTATCCTCCACACCCCACTGCTGCATTATACAAGGCTTCATCTCTCCTAAAGCACCTGAGAAGGCTCACCCTTTCAAATTTCTTAATCGACAGAACATTAATACTGCTCAGCAAAAGAGGCATCAGCTTGGATTCGCAGTCTGCTGTCAGCGGTGGACAGAATGAGAACTCCCACCTTCATGTGTGATTATTTTTTGTTATTTTATTTGTGATGGAGTTTCCAGGTCGATTATTGTTGAGATAAAGTAAAATTCATGAAAGTGTGCAATATCCACTCAGCAGCCCTGAAAGGAGGATATTCTTGACTAGCAGAGCAGTGCTACAGTAAATTGCCTCTTTATTTATTGCATGCAGAGGAGATAACAGCAGAGCTAACAAGACTGTGCATATATCTGGGTTACATTAGTAATGAGAAACCACTATGCTAATTAACTCTACTCCCTAATGAAATTAAATTCATGCAGTAAAAGACATTTATAATGAAGTCAATACAAAACGAAAGCATATCAGTTTCTAATTCCTTCACTACAGCAGGGTGACACAAGCAGTATCATGATTATATATTGTCATGGAATAGCAGTCATTGACAGGAAGAAGAGGACTTCGTGTTGGTGGCCTGAGGTTGTTCCAATTTCCATCAACAAAAATAGCTTCCTTCACTCCTTCCTCTCCTCCAGACATGCAGACTGATATATTAGTGAACTATCATTTCTCGTTTTGTAAGTTAATTTTGGAAAAATAGCTTAATATGTTAATTTGCTCACATAAATTCCTTAAAAGCAATGTAAGCTAAAAATGTAAGCTTGAGAAGAAGACATAACCCAGCATTTTTTCCCACTGAGCTCATAGTTATTTTCATGATTGAGACAATGGTGACAAGGGCTGTTGACTCTTCTATTGTGTCATGTAACATTTCAATCAATTCTCTTGCTGGTCTCTCTTGGGGACAGTCACATCATTTCCGTTGTTACCAACTGGATGTTGACTTGGCCATGCCAAGGTGTCAAACCAAATAATTTTACCTGACCAGCCCAGTCTGTCCGTGCTCTTTCATCCTGCTGGTGAAAACAGAGGTTAGCTTTGGAGTCTGAGTTGTCCATTGGCCAAGGGCTCTAGTGGCAAAAGACTGTCTGTATGGTCACATGGGTGGAGGCTTCAGAGGCTGTGGGTGAATTTCATCTGATGGAGATCCAAGTGCAGGCTCTGTCGCTGCCTTGGCTCTAATGGCAGTACTGGTGGGGTCCTCTGGAACTTCACAGGTGGTGCAACGGGGGTGGCCAGCACAGAGATCAAAACCTCCTTCAGTCATTAGGCAGTGGATGATATCCAATGAAAGAGAGGTTGAGGTGAGACTGCACCTGGGATCTGTTCCAGAGTACGATGCTCAGTTTATTCCCGAGTAATGGGCTGAATTCTTAGCAAACTGCACAAAGCCTTTTCCCATAGGCCAGTCCCACCAATTATTGTCTGCCATCTGCTCCATGAGCATCTCCTTAATAGCGCTGTTTGGATGCTCTGGTACTTATTGGCTTTGAGAGTGTCCTGGCTTTTCATGCACCAAACTGAGCTGAGGCCACAAATACTTTAGCTCTTGTATCAAAAGAACTTATATTTGAAAAAGTTTCCAAATCCCTAGTGATTTCCAACTTTTGGTTTTTTATATATATATACACACTCTGACCTGAAAATGGTTTCTCATGATCAGAACTCCCGAGAGGTATAAAGAAGCTTGAAGCAAGAAGGAAGAGAGGGAAGAAAGGCTACAGAAGAGATGTAACCATCTTGGTGGGACCAAAAGCAACAAGCATAGCAGTAAGATTGTATAGATCCAGCAAGATCAACCAATCATTGATTGTTGTTGGATGAGCGAGAGATGTTGAAGTAGAAAGGAATGGCAAGATTCAGAGGCATGAGAAGGACTTCAACAGCATCACAAGGAGAGACTGTCACTGGAAATTGATCAGCTGATAACATCTGATTTGTCAAATGATTAAAACCTTATCCCACTGACTCTAGGTGACAAAATGTGACCTCATGCAGATGGCAAAAAGAAGAAAGGTCTATTAGCCATTGCTGTCTAATATCAGTCAGAGATTTATACCCTGTTTTGGGGACAGATGTAAAGCAGCTGAGCTATGAAAGCCTGATTGTCTTTCACATAATGATTTTGCTGAGTTTTTCCTCTTTTCTAGGGGAATTCAATTCTGTCTTCAGAGACAGCAACTGACTGCCTCGCTGAGATATAATAAGCTTTTTAGCTGCACCAGGTTTATTAGCTTTTCCATCCCTCTAATCCAAGCAGTAACATTTTAATTTCTTCTACCAGTAGAGGGTACGAAATTTATAAAATTTATTTCAAGCTAAAGATACTGTGAGTAATCAGTTATAAACTTCAGAACTGCACAAAATCAACAAAAGATTTAAAAAAATCATTGTTAGCTTGGAAACTTAAAATATTTGACTTTTTAAGACAAGCTAACTTCTGTCTAAATCATCTAAATATAATGATAGTCACTGTTAAATATATGGTTTTTAAAATGAATAATTCTGTAAATAGAAAAATAGGGTTTTGTTTGAACTTACAATGTTAATTTCAGTAATAATGTCTAATTTTTGTTGTTAAGAGACATTTTCATAATGTGGGAAAGAGAACAAAATTGCTGCAACGATACCATTTCCAAGAGGTGATTTTGAGAAAATATGGTAAGAAATAACTATTTATTGTTGGTTTGTTTTCGAAAGGTTGGTTTAATTTTTCTTTTAGAAAGTTGTGCTTGTCTTCACAGTGAAGGAACAGACCTACTCAGAAGGAACAATAGCTTCCTTGGTATTTTATGAGGGCTTGTGGGGAATAAAGGTGTATGTGGAAAACTATATAGATCTCTAAGTTTAAAACATCTCTACCTTATTCCATAAAAAAAACCAACTTTTCCTTTTGTGTTTCTCCATACTTGGCAAATTCTCTTGAGTCTCCTCCTGGTGCCTTTGACTTCACAGACCTCGATGCAAAGACAGTAAGACAAGAGAGTCCAATGCGCTTTCCTCCACTCTCCTCCAGGTGCATCCACAACTCACCAGGCAGCACCATGAGGAAAACCCAGAGGTCATGTTCAAGTTTACCAGCTGAGACACTGGAGGCACTTGGCCTCATCATTTTGAGGAGGAGGCATGCAGAGCCCTGCGCGGGTGTGTCGCACCATTTCCAGGGCCCACCTTGAATCACTGAGGAGGGAATTTGCTGTGCCTGTCCAGCACTGTGCTCTGTCAGGTCCAGGTCTGTGCAGGCTGCAGGAGAGTGACACTAGCAGCAGGACAACCTGCTGCGAATCGTGCCCACCTGCTGCTTGATGAGGCGGCTTCCACTCAGCACAAACGACAGCAGGTCCAGACAGCTGAGGGCAGTCAGACTCAAAAAAACTTCATTGTAGCTTTCTAAGTGGCTTAACTCACCCACATGCTGTATGTAGTAGGCCCTAAAGAAGTGGTAGGGAAGGAAGCAAATTATGATGACACAAATGAAAATTAAGTTTTTCACCTGGGCCCAGAACTCTTGGTGTGACCAGAGGGAGGCAGAAAGTTTTCTTGCCACTTTTGCCAAGATGAAAATCTGCAGGCCCAAGAGGGCACAAGTAAGGCAAGTGACAGCTACAATTATGGTGTAGTTTAGGGCTTTCACACTCTCCTGCTCTAGTTCCTTGTGAAACTTAAAGCATGTCGTGTCATTGTATGAGCCTGAGCGTCCATACTCAAAGTACAAGACTGGCACCACAAAGACCATGACGAAAACCCACACAGCAGCGCTTGCTGCAATGGCATGCAACTTCCTGTAAAACTCCACCTTGTCCTTCCACTGAAAGAAGATGAGCCATCGGATCACCAGCGTGATCACATAGAACAGAAAGGTCAGGTACATGTGGATGTGCACCATCGCGCTCACCAGCTTGCAAAATGGCATCTGGAATACCCACTTCTTCTTGACGTAGTAGTGCAGGCGGAAGGGCACCGTGATGAGGAGGAGTACATGCACAACCACCAGGTTAATGATGGCTGTAGTGGTCACAGACAGAGTGTTCATCTTGACCAGCACAAAGGACATGGTGATGGACCCAATCCCACCTCCAGCGAAGGCAACAGAGTAGGCAGTAATCAGTATGGCACTCATGGTGTTAGTGTGAGTGAAGGCAGAGGAGGAGTCACTGCTGTTTCTGTTCTCTTCCATCATGTTCCTGAAATCTTCCTTGTACATATTCTAGAAAGAATACATAAAGACTAAGATAAAGTAGGAATCATAGAATAGTTCAGATTGGAAAAGATCTTAAGATCATCGATTCCAACTGTTAAATGAGAGGCACCACCTGAAAAGCCAGCAGAGCTTTCCACCTGGATCTTGCTTCAGGGATAATCCTGAAATCTCATGGCTTGCACAAGCTGGAACCATCAGTTTTACCCAAACAACCCCCAGCCTAGAGAAAAATGGCCAGGAAGGTTGGGCGGAGAAGCTGCTCTAGTCCTTAAGACGTTGTTAGCCCTACCCTTAAAAACAAGCATGAGTTAGCAATATGTGGGAAGGAGAAATCCTTAGAGAAGTGACATGATTGTGGTGGTTCTGAGCTCTCTGCATCAGCTTTCTTCTGAACATCTGCATGCTTTTGCAGTGAAGATTGGAGATATTGTTAGAATTCTGCTACTCATTCATCACTTTGTTTATTTGCAATACAAACCTGCCCTCCCCAGAGCTGAATAATAACCATATGTTGCTCTACCAAAGCTATAAATTTTGTTTGTTACCAAGAGATGAATTTTGCACACATTACAGTCAACTCCTGAGTAATGGATTAAACACCATGGATACTCAGGCTCCATGGAGATCCTGCTCGGATCCTGCCAGACTAAGTAGCGTGGGCAGCGCTGTCCTGGTGCTCAGGGCCATTGCACATCTAATATGTGGCAATCGGGTGTTGCAAAACTGGCTCTTAGAAAACGTTAGGAAAGGACATCCCATGTTAGTGCAACTACTCCTGCCTGACCTGAGCTGAGGCTAGATGAAAGCTAATAGTAAGTTTAATAAGCATGCTGTATAAGTTTTAATATATTACTGTTTCAAAGTGATATTAAATCTAAATCTTACAATTCTAAACGTAACTTCTGGTATGATTTTTAAGTACTTTGAGAACATGTGGGAGGGGAAGAGTTCAGGTAGGGTGTTATCCTGAAACATGTTTGCATCTATGGAAGTATCAAGAGGATGTCCACACAACAGTTACAGATGAGAAGCATAGGAAATGAAACAGTGCTGGACTCCGTACCATCCCAGTTATACTGCTACCTCAACTGTAATTTAAAACTGACTCTCATATGTCATCCGCTTCACCAGTGAATCCCACGAGAGGGGGTTTTCTCCTGAGTGAGCTTTTGCAATTTTCTTTTAATACTGTACTGTTGTTAACTTCGCAAAGTAGTTCCTTGAGCTCTTTGTACAAGTCACATTTCAGCTTTTTTTCATTTTTAGGTAGGACACGCTGACAGAAGTTGGGAGGGTTAAAAGTTCTTCAGCAGTTCTCTCTTTTGTGGAAAAGAAGAAATATCTGTACCAGTTTATTAAACTGTTTTTGCCTGCAGTGGGGAGTGAGTATCTGTGATGCATCTCAAATATTTTTTGAGGATTCTTAGCAATATTTCTAAGCATTTGACCCTAAATTAATCATAATCACTTTATACATTGAAAAGTTGGTTTTTCTCTAGCTATCCCAACACATCTACTACTCCAGATATTTTATTGTAATCAACATCAATAGAGCTGCTGTATCTCAAATTGACGTGTTGTTTGTTGGCACTTATTGACCTCTTTCTGCATTTTCGAGTTACTTGGACAACTAATTCCAGTGTGTTATGAGAAGTAAAATGGGTTATGATGAGAAAAGCTTTTTCTTGAGGGCACTGCCAATTCGCACACTGCAGCTCTTGCATCAGAAACTGTGCAACATCCTTTCAGCTCTGCTCTCATTCCTGAGACATTGTTTCAGCCTCACAACCCTCCAAGCCAGAAGGGATTAGCAATAGCTGCTCACGTTTCTCCAAGCTGCTAAGCTTCCATTTAGAAGGATGTCTCTAAAAAGCAGCACTGTCACAGTCTTAATTTAAAATGCATATTTAAATTTTTAAAAGTGCCATGGTCCTAAAAGCAATGCGCTGGAAACACAAGTTGGTGCAGGCAGCCCCAGCAGCAAGGCTTCGAGAGAAGGACCCCTCATCACTGTCCTTCAGGGCCCAGCAGCAAAACTGGGACTGAAGGCAGTGAGGAACAGAGCAGCAGAAGTCAGCAAACTGCTATTTTCCTCAGTTGGTTCTATTAAGGGGACAGTGAGAGACATATTTCTGTCTGCAAATAAACAACCGAGACACGGAAATGGCAGATTTCTGCAGAACTTCTCTGTCATTGCTAAACCCTTTCATTGGAAGATTGTGCAGGAAATCTCTCTGTTGTTAATTTTTATTAAAAGAAGAACTACTGGCAGCATTGATATGAGATTATCAGCTCCCCGATACTCAGACATCCCAATGAAATAGCATTTTGTGATGAATACAGAACGTAGCATGGCATAGGGTGTGTTTCACAGAGGAAACGAGGTTTCTGGTGAAATGAGTTTTCCTGTTGTACTGACATTCACATAGCTATAACTTACTGACCTGAAATACAATTAACAAACCCTTCAGCCAGAATATAACAGGAGGTACATGGAATGAGAATGAATGCTGGTCTTACAAGGGACTAATAAATTATATGACATAAGGCTATATACTGAACCTCACTAGAAACACAAGCTATAGAAGTCTCTAGGAGCCAGAAAATATCTCGCAGCAGAGGAGGAATAACAGAAAAAAAACACCGAGAGTAGTATCAAGCTGTCTAAAAAATGGTTTTCAGCCATGCTTAGCCTCTTACCAATGTCAGCTGGTGTAAGCTCTTGCCAGCTAGACCAGCATTGCTTCAGTACTGAACGCAGCTTGCTTAAAACTAGCTTTTTTAACTGTCTTATCATTACCTTGCATTTTACAGAGTGGCTTTACCCTGGTCACAGACTTACAGTTCTGTCTCATCCTTTCTTGCCTTCTCACCACAAAACCCCTGGCCTCAGACAATGCCTGAAGCTTCAAGAAGCTCCTCCAGGATGGTATTTTGCAGTTTGCCTCACCCAGGAGGCTTCCCTTCATGCACATTAATGTTGACATCTGTAAGAACAGAAGGAGCACAAGGAGGACTTACCTCCTTCTACATCCAAAGGCAAAGACTTTCTCCCCAAGGAGGTGCTCTTGTTTCCATGCTGCCTTCCTATCCTTTCTATCTACTGCCAGTTCAGTGATATTGCTCAAATTTTGATCTTCCTCTTTGTTAAGCCTCTCATCACTTGGCTAAACTTCTGCTGGACGTGTATGTTGAACAGACATTAAGTAATCATTCCATGTGAGTGCCACAGCATTTGCCAGTGCCAAGGGCTTGCAGACAGTTGCCAAAATAGCTGTGTTCTAGTTTGGCAAAGGAAGCAGAATGCCAAGAGGCCAGATGCTGGCTTCTTTCAGAGGTATGATCAACCAAATGTTTCTCGTGATTTTAAGATTCATCAGTTACCAGTGTAGATAAAATCACTGTGTTAATTTCCTGTGATTTTCTGTGCAAGATAGTCCATGGGACTTCCTCCAGGTCATGTAATTTATGAAAAATTATTCAGTCTCTGTCAAAGTTTTCCTAGTAAAAGAATACTCATTCCAAACTTGAGGAACATCTTCCTCTTACAGCTTACTGTAAACTATCCTACTGTTTACCAAAGGAAAAAAAAAAAAGTGAACCATATTTCTGGACAGAATTTATACCACCTCATCTTCCAGACATGGTATGTGCTTGGGATTTTGTCTTCAGATTTAAAAACCCTTTGCCAAATTTTGTCTTTCTTTATAGCTGTACCTGGAGATAAGTAGAGATAAAAGACAAAGATACTTTCTCTTCAGCCCAATCATATTTGTGGTGCCTCTCTGAACTGCCTCCATCAGTGCTCCTATTGTGCTCCTATTTTTTCCTTAAGATGAAGAACTTTGCATTTAGCAGTGGTAAAACACATGTTGCTGGTTTGAATCTGACTTAGTGGTCCAGATCCACCTGTAACCAGCTTGTTCCCTACATCACTTACCATTTTCCCAACCAAGTTTTGCAGTCACCATTATGTTACATCAACATTATATCAACTTATTAAAAAAACCTGAAGTAACTCATCTGTCAAAACCAATGACACTCTTACAGTCTCTGTCAAACAAGGAGCTCTATTCTAGGTATAATAAGTGTTTGCAAAATTTCTCCCCTCCCATATATGTCTGCTGAGGGGCTGGCAGGCTTCACATAGATTTTCATGTGTTACAACTGTTGAGTTCTGCAGGAGCAGCACTTGCAGCCTACATGCACCCATCTGAGAAGTTTCATTTGAATTTGGAGGGGAAAGGAGTTGAATTCAAATGAGAGATTCCTATTTTTGACAGATTTAATAAAATGGAAAAGCAGCTGTTTGTCAGAACTGACATTTCTGTATTGAACTGGTTGGAGGCAGTGCAAGATACATATTTTTTTTAACAAAAGTCTTTCAAATGTGTATTTGTTTCACAAACATCCTAATTTAGTCTCAGAGATGCTTTTGGCTGAGGGCACCATAATTGCTTTTCGATTTTCTCTAATTCCATGCCGTGTTATGGTAATACAGGCTATGCCACTAGAATAAAAGCAGAATTCTCTTCATTTCAAAATAACCACACAACCCTGAAGTTTGACGTATAAACCTTTGCTTAAAGGAAAACATCATAAATTAAACATATGAAATATCAAGTGTACATGTACATTCAGATATCAACTTTTTTCAAACAACTTCTAATGATTCCTTTAACTCATTCACTACCTCATTGACTCACATCTTGCTGGCTGTGCCATCATTATGTTGACACTTTTTAGTTTAGATCTAGTCTATTGAAGAACAAATGGAATGGAAAAACATATTGAGTTACTCCTTTTTTGATGGAGATTTTTGCTGTTTTTACACAAAAATGGAAAACTTTCCTAAAAAAAAATTATTTACCTTCCTAGATGTATCTTACCTATAAAGTAGAAATATAGCCTTCTGGTCTTTACAGAGATGCAACGATGTCAAACACAAACAAAAAGGTGGATGAAAACAAAATTACTTCCTGCTTTTAGGAGGAAGTGTAGGC